GTAAGATTGTTTTACAACGCTTTACTTTGAGCCTGTGTTTCTCTTTGGAGCTCAGGTACATTTTCCTAAGACAGCAGCATGTTGGATTTTGCTTTCTGTTCCAGCAAGCCCTCTAGGTCATTTGATTGGTGAGTTTAATTCATTCACATTTTGGGTGATTATTGATATATAAGGGTCATAGGCTTCATTTAGTCCTTAGTTTTCTGTTTCTCTTTATTTCTTTGTTCAGTACTTTATGAATGTTCTTCTCTTTGAATTAGGCATGAGAGCTAATTTTAATTGCTCTTCACTGGAGGTGTTTGTAAATTCCTTAAGCTTCTGTTTGTCTCAGAAGGCCTTTATTTCTCCCTCATAACTGAAAGAGAGTCTTGCACAATACAGTATTTCTAGCAGGCAGTTTTTATCTTTAGGTAGTTTGAATACATTATTCTATTCTCACTTTGCCTATGTATTTCCACAGAGAAATCAGATATAAGCCTAATGGGGGTATGTTTGTAGGTTATCTGTTTCTCCCCACTAGCCAGCTGCAATATTTATCTAGAACTCTTGAAAAGTCACAAGTATATGTATGGTGTATGTGTCATTACATTAATGAAACCAAGCATTCTTTTAAGTTTCATGAACTTGTGTATCTAGCTACTTTTCCAGCTTTGAGAAGTTTTCCTCTATTATTTCTTTGAATGCATTCTCTGTTCCCTTTTCTCTCACTTCCCCTTCTAGAATACCCATCATCCTTGTTTACCTTTCTTCATGGAGTTGAAATATTTTCAGAGTTTATGCATTTTTTCTTTCTATGTATTCTCTTTCTACTCTTTGTACTCCCACTTCTGTATTCTCTGTGCATTACTATTTCTCAGGTCACCAACTCAATCTTCCAGTCAGTCAATTTTACTTCTATTGCTTTTTCCAGAATTCTCTTTGTCTCCTCTTTGTCTCCTCTTTTTTAAATTCTGCATTTCCATTTTTTTATATGTAAAGCTTCAATTCCTATCTTTTGATCATTAATTTCATTTCTCAGCATACTTGTTTTTCTGATTTTTCTTGTATATCTTTAATGAACTTTCTGTGGTTTTTTTTTACATTTTTTTCTTTGAATTTTTTATCATGGCAATTTTGAATTCTATATATGATAGGAAGAAAATATCTTCCATGTCTTTGTAGTTTGATTCTGGAGATTTGTTCTCTCTTTGTGGTAAGATATTCCTTTGAGGACTCTTGGTGCCATGCTATATATTTTCCATTCATCTGTTTTGCTTCTTGTCCATTTGCTATTTTTTAGTGTCCTAAGTGTGCTGAACTTCCACTTTTCCAGTAGATGGTGCTATGGGATTTTTTTTTCTCTTTTAAAGCTTTTCCTGGCTTGTTTCAGTGATTTGTATGTAGGGGAGAACTGATCTGCAACAGCTGAGTCAGTGGGTGGGCGAGGGATTTGAAGGCGTCCAGTCACTGGTGAAAGCAGTGTGTGGGGTTACTCATGTATGTATACCACTGATAAGCCCCTCTCTCTTGGTTTCTAGACTCAACATCTCTATTGCCTGGGGCCACAGTTTCAGTGTGGCTTCAGAGGATCAACTGGAGTCTGGAGGGGTTGGGGGACAGTGAGCTCAGTTTTGTATCCTATTTTCTTCACTGGAGACTTGGCTGTTTGACTTACCCCAGCACTTAAGTATGTATCTCTCCTTAGCTAAGGGTGTGCCTCTCCACATCAATCAGCTCTCTCCTGCCCAGGGTTGCCAGCCAGTCATAGTACAGGTTTTCCTGCTGGCTCCCACCCCAGCCACAGTATCTAGGTATCTCTCTCCACCCACCTTTTGTTGCATAAAGTTGAATTTCTTTAGTGTCCCCTATGCCATGGTGCATAGTCTACATTAGTCTCCAATGGGCCAAGGTGCTTTAGTCTTGCTCCAAGTCACAGGATTCTCTGGGTACAGTACTTCTCTGAACTACTTTCAGAGCAAAGCAGGTTCCCTGCTTAGATGCCATTTTCCCTCTTACCCCATAACTTATGTGTTTATTTATTTTTGCAAAACTCACATTCTGTACCACACAAAACTGTAAGTCTTTACTTCTCTTTTCCTTGGCAAACACTATTCATTCTATCATTTTGACTAGTCTAAATATGTTATATAGCCTTTGTGACTGACTTCTTTCATTTACATGTTGTCCTGAGGGTTCTTCCATGTTGTAGCATGTGTCAGAATTTCCTTCCTTTTAAAACTGAATGATAATGCAATATATGTAGATATCAGATTTTATTGACTCAGTCATCCATCAAGGGTTCACCATTTGGTAATGATGAATAATGTTGCTTATGGGCCTCCCTTGTGGCGCAGGTGGTTGAGCGCAGTGCTGTGAAGCTGTCCGCAGCCTCTGCAGCACCAGTTCCATCCCAGCCTACCGGGGAGGGTCCCACATGGCGCGGCAGATCTCTCCTGTCATGCCCGCTGCAACCCTCAGCAGTGTATTTCA